GTGTGTAACAATTGACAATTAGTTACTTATATAAAAATTGTAAAGAAAATATTAATGAAATATTTATGCAATCTTTTTTATTAAACTTCAAGCTTCAAATTGATATGACAAATATTATTAAATTTGTTTCACAAAATATCACTTTGTTAATTGCTCTAATAATCAATTATTTTGTATCATGAAAATTGATAAAACATTTTTTAGTAATGAATCTTCAATTTTTAAATTGATATGCCATACGTTACGAAGCGACATGCAGCAAAATAATAGTACTATATTTTTTCAATTACCCATTATGTATTAAGAATACTGATGGCACGTTCATGTAGCCATTTCCTTCAAAGCTTAAGCTTGAAATTGATATGCCATAAGCGTTATTACAAACGTAACTACGTGACATGCAACACAAAACCTTCGCCATTTGCTACAACAATCGCCTACTCAATATTAAGAACATTGAAGAATCATTCAGGTAGGCAGTTTTATCAAACATTACGTTTTAAATTAGTATGTAATACGTAATGAAGTGATATGCAGCATAATAATGTAATATAATACTTGTTATAATTAAAAATCATCTCACATTATAAATATTGATGATGCGTTTATGTAGTCGTTTTCATTTGCCTTCATTTAACTTATCTTTAGAGATCATTTAGAATTTAAATTGATATGTCATTTGTAACGAGATGATATGCAACTTAGAATTGTTCTACATGACACAGGTAACAATTAATAGAATTTTACTGCAATATAGTTAACAAAAACTTTGGGATATCTAAACATTTTTGTTTACTTTTAAAAGTTAATTTGATATGTCACACATTACAAAGTGATATGCAATAGTATAATATAATTTTTTTTGTTTTGTAACTGACAATTTACTCATTTCTTGTTGAGAATATCAAGTAAACATTTATACTATTTATTTTTTATTTAATTTGTCAATTTTTAATTGATATGCCAGAAGATAATAAAATTCTATTCTTTCATACAACTCACAGGTAGTCCAGAACGTTTGGAAAACTATTTTCATTGATCTCTAAAAAATAATTCCTTATTAGGAATGTCTATGTTTAGTAAATATTTACACTGTTTGTCTTTTTATGAATTTATCAATTTTAAATTGATATGCTACATATAGAAGAAGTGACATGCTACAAGATAATAGAATTCTATTCTTTGATACAACTCACAGGTAGTCCATAACATTTGGATGACTATTTTCACTGATCTTTGAAAAACCAATTGACATGCATTTCCTAATAAAGTGATATGCAACAATATAACATTCTTGGCTTATATAACTGACAATTTACTCATTTCTTATTACGTATGTCTATATTCAGTAAATGTTTATACTGTTTATCTTTTTATGAATATCCCAATTTTAAACTGATATGCCTCACACTGTAAAGTGACATGCCACAACATAAATGTTTACCAATCAAAAGTTACTTTCCACAAAAAATATTGAAAAAATATAAATGTAATCACTTCTCAAAAATGTTTAATCCTGACATGTAATTAATGTCACTGCCATAAAATCATGTCAGACAATCCGTGCTCTAAAACCCATACGACATGCAGCAATCTGGTATGAACTGTTACTCGCTAATAATATAACAGTTAATGAGATTTTAATTATTTATAAAAGCAGAAAAAGATCTTTTCTCGTATTGTTGATGAGTAACAACCATTGTAAGACAATAAAAGAATGCTAGTACAAACGTTACATTCATCATTGTGGTTTAATAGCATGTATGAATTAAGTACTCTAGTATAATCATTCAATTAATTGTCGTGAAAGAGAAGCAGGAACGAAAGATGAAAGGAAGATAAAGGAATAAGAGGGCTCAGAAGAAACGGGAAGTTTGTCACGAACGAGCGGAAGAATGTAATTAGTTGGGAAGATCGTATTCATGTTGTAGCTGAAAACTGCATAACAGAGGAGTACGCGATACTGAATGAAACGTGAGAAATACGAGCAGTTGTCGTTTTACTATGAGAACCGATTGCGATCGTTCAACGTAGGAAAGGCATTTTCATGAATCGTTTTTCGCATACAATGTATGCAGTCTAATCTTCGAATCTGCGACAATTTTTCTAATAGAACACAATGAAACGCCTTATGAAACAATTTGATCGTGTTACACGAGCCCGTTTGAAAGTAAATGACATAAATTCTTTTCCGATATTGATAAATTTCTTTTTGTATATGTACAAGTTTGATTTGAAATTTTAAACTTCAAAATTTCTTATGTAAATGTACAAATTTTAATCTTCTCAGTGGTGTAATGATTTTAAAATTCCCGCTCTTTTGTGCTTTGAAGAGATTAATATTTAAGTCAGAGAGAATAAGTTTCTTTCATAAACGTATCATTTATTTTAAATTCAAACCTGTTATTTAAATATTTTGTATACATATGTAAAAGTAGTAATGTTATTCAAAACATTATGGTGTGATTACATGTTTCAAATTCAAATTGATTCCCGCCCTTTTATGCTTTGAAGAGATTAATATTAAAATCAGGAAAAATAAATTTAAAATTTTAATTTCAATGTCAACAGTTTATGAATGCTGTATACATATGTAGATTTAATCTTATTTTCAGTACTATGTAATTATTTTAAATTGGAATAGATTCCCGCCCTTTTGTGTTTTAAAGAGTATTAGTATTTGGTAGTTTTATTTTTAAAATTCCCGCCTAATATATGAGTAGCACAAATATTTTAGTAATTGACTTTTAATTTTGAGAATTTGAAAACAAACCTAACCAATAAATTTAACTAAATACCATTTTCTTGACCGTAAAAGTAAAAAGATGTCTTTGAGGTTAGGTCAAAGAAAAAAAGAAGTCTAAGCTTGCGATAATTAAAAATGTGAATCGATTTACAGCAGTGCTGTAAATTTTACAGTATTATAACATGAAAATGGATTTCCACGCTTAAATACGCATATGCACATACGTTATACGTTGGGAAAACGAGTTTCTTAGCCTCGTACCAGTGAAATCGACGCTAAAGAATCATTTGCCCTTCCAAGATAGATTTATATAGAGATTAAGAGACTTATGTCCGGTTTCACCAACAAGAAGAATTATTCATCGAACAAAGATATATATAGCCGAAGAAATTTCTACAGTTCCACATAATATTTCGCCTTGAAGTAGTATATTTTAACGATAGTAATCAAACCGCGATTGTTGGAACGTTTGATCTGTTACAAAGATTATATTTTTACAACATTAAATTCACAAATATATAATTCTCAAGGTGTTTATATTATATATATATTGAATTTCAAAGTTGTATCACAAGATGGACGCTTGAGATTTCAAAATGGCGTTCATCGTTTTTTAGGTTAGTTTCGAATAATTTATATAATACGGTTTATGTTACTAAATTATTAACTTGATAATTGTGAGTTATTAATAAGTACTATCAGAATGGTTTTTATTAAAACGGAGGAAAGCTGATGTAAATAAACTGTTTACAGAGATATAATTAATATTGTAATTTTATTCAACGAGAAGTACTTTTAAGAACATCTTCTACAGAGCTATAAAGTCGTCAGATAAAATCATATTGTGTTTCACACAGATATATATCTTATGAGAAGAATATGTTCTTTCATAAGAATCTCGCGAATTTTACGCAGCCTTAATTAGTTAACTTCTTATTTAACACAAAACAGAGAGCGGATACTCTCTTTAAGATAGCTAAACAGTAGGTTTCATAAACCTTAAGCATTAACTGAACTTGCCCTCTCTATCAAGTTTATCTAAAAATTATAATCATAAAAATAAATTATCTGCATGCAAAATATTTTAATTGAATGTGAGATAGCATTTATTTAAATTTTAACTCATTTTTTTGAAAAAATGTAAGTTTTTTTTAATAACTTAGAATTTAATAGAAAAACATTCATAAATGGTTTATTATATATTTTATAAAAATTGTAGTAGTCAAATATTTTGCTTTAGTAATAAAACATTAGGAATTGTAAAATATTAACGCATGACTATTAAAATATTTAAATATTTGAAATATGCAATTATACATTTTACAATTTATTTTATTTTGCAGTCAAGTTATTCAGATATTTTAGTTTTACAAAATTTATAAAATATTTATTAGAATTGTTAATATATTAACAGACTTTAATATTAAACTATTAAAATATTGAAAATTTATTATTATACATATATTCTTTTTATTATTTTTTGTTGGTTATTAGTATTTTATTATTAATTTTAATAGTTTGCTGTTAAAGCATTTAAATATAATTTATCACTATTTATTTATCTATTAATAGTATTTCACTATTCAAATATTGAAATATTTAAAATATTTTGCTTTGAGGATATTCATAAAATATTTCGTAAATTTATTAACATAATAACATATTTAAATATAGCAAATTTACTGTTACTCATTTTTCTATTATAAAATACTAAAATAGTTAAAGCTTCCTGTTTCTAACATTTTTCTATATATTTAAAAAATAATTTATTATTTATTGTTCTGTTTACTATTTATAATATTTTGGGATGAAAGTTTCGAAATACTTTAAATTTACCATTTATTTATTTATATTTTATATTTCTACAAGTAAGTATATTTTATAATATACTTTATATTATATTTTATAATATGTTATAATACTTAACTATCAAGTTATTGCAATATCACATTTTTGCCATTACATAAATCACAATTTATAATATTCCATCACAAAAATATTCTGTTACTTCACAAGTTCCGTCGTTCCAATTAGAAGAATTTACTTCAACCAGAAGAACTTGATAAAAAACTATAAATTAGAAAGGATGAAACCGTAACTGCAATTCAATTAAAACGCGTTTACAAGAATTTACAGTTACAATAACTCGATGCTATTTAATAATATACTTTACTCTTAAAGCTTAACTCTTGCCCAAATAGTCTCGAATTTCACCGTACACTCGATCCCCCGAACAAGAAAATAAAAAACAAACCTTGTGCGAGCAAAGCAACGATGACAAAAAGACACACAGTAACTCTCTCCATGACCCAGAAATCTTCTCCGTTCAACAGTTCTGTTCCCGAAACGAGATTCAACAAAAAAATTCTCTTCAACAACACTTCGACCCGTGCGAAATATTCCTAATCCAACAAAACGGTGCACTGATCGTCATTCAAATTCACCGGCCGTACCGCCAGATTCACGTCATTTCGCGGTTCGATCCGGAAGTCCTGCAAAACCGAATGAAAACCGGAACCGAATACGCGCGGCGACGATTTCTTCTTTGACGAAGAAGCAGGTGTCGTGTTGGATACACGAATTCAAAGTCGACCAAAGTGAAACGATCTTTCCTGAAGACTGAAGTGCTTACTCCTTGGCAGGAAGTCGTCCAGGTGTTCTGTCCCCCTCCATAGCCGAGCTCTTCTCTACCACCTCTCCGATCAAACCGACGTGCTGGTTGCCATCGAGAACGAGGCTGACTCGTTTTCATGCAAATTCATATTTACTTCGAAATTAATAAGGGAGAAACATTCGGTAATTAAATAAAATTCGTCAAAATTTTCGTTCGTAACCTTTCAAATGACATAACCACATTGTCACACTTTATACATTGAAATTTAAAAATTTGGTACGTTCATTCATGCATACATTCACAGATGTTGCAAGGAAAATAATAATGTGATGTAAAGATAAAAATATACAAACGGTAGGTATAAGTGTCACTGTAATCGTACACTCACCGTTTAAAATGACGTGGGTTGATCTGAGAGACAGCTGAATGACTCAATCTGTATTTCAATCACAGTGTATCCATCATTGACCTTTTTGTCCGAAGAGAAAGGGATTCGATGCTAATACTTCCCTTAATGCTGTGAAGCCGGCGGGAATTTTCGCGGGAACGTGATGTCACGATACTTTTCTCGCACGTAATGATAAAGGATAAGAAACGCGTGTATGAGAACGACGTCAGCGCTCTGACGGCGCGCATGGTATTAAAATTGAATTCAAGTTCTCAAGAGTATAGTTTGAAGTGACTCTTCTCCTTTCCTTACGTGTGCCTTCGGTATTTAGGCCAACTTTTGATACGCGTCCTGAAGTCGTAGGATGACTGGGACTGCGATGTCATGGCGTCGTGAGACGCGCGATTGTAAACAGATTTTAGTCCATTCATTCGACTGGAGATATTTAATTAGTTGGTGATTGAAAATTTAGAAAATTGTGAATTTTGAGATTTAGTGATCTAGAGATTTAGAAATTTGAATTGTATATATTTTTTCTCTTTCCAATGCAAGCATTTGAAAATACAATAGAGAGCTATAGAGGAAAGATTCACTATCAAAATTAAAAATGAATGAATGATACAAAATATGGTATAATTACAATTGTTCATAGTATCATAATCTTATTTCAAAATATGAACGTCTCATTTGCTATCGTTCGTAATTAATGTAAGATTAAAGTCTTAAGGTGACAACGTTTGACGACGTATCCGCCATGACACTTTCGATCATATTTATGGCTAAACTGTATAGAAATAAAAAGTTGATATTCTTAACAATTGAAAATTATCTATTTGGAAATTAATAATATTAATATTTATTGCAAAATTATAAATTACAATAATATACATTATATATTACTAAAATGTATACTGTACATACTTTGAAGAAACGAACAAAATTTATTTGTTACATATTTTGTAAATAACACTCGTACTTTATACTTGTAGCTATAGAACTTAACAATAAATTTAAAAACACAATGATTGTTTAATTTCATAATTTAATTTACTTAATTATCTTATAATATATTCTATTATATTTAATTACATTGTATAAATATATGATTTAATATTTTTATAACAAAAAACTATTTTTCCTTAACAAATGTGACTTTGAATATCTATAATAAATATATGAATACATATATTATATAATTTAAATATAATCATTCAATTTTTATTCGTATTTCGATCATAAACAATAATTGATAAACAAAAGCGTAGTTCGAACTCTCGAAACACTTTCTTACAAACTATTAAATTTCACGGCTATGATAATGATCATGTTCGAGGTGAAGGTATGAACGCATCTCATTGTTGGCGTGAAGCAGAAACAACAATTAACTTAGATATGGAAGGATGGCCATCAAGGAGTAGACAGTCCGGTTTAGGGTGTCGTGGTTCGCTGATCATCGTACCGATTCTTCCTGCTTAAACGCGATCAAAAACCTTCCTTTCATCCTTTCTTTCTCTACATTTAACAGACGGACTTACCGTTTACGAATACGTTAAAAACAAGAAACATTGAAACTACTGGAATTCAAAATAAATCATAAAAACGTAATCGTAAACCGTGACGGGGATGGTAGGTTTTTTCAGTCGCTGGCAATTTTATTTCTCAAATCATCAAATCTCATATTTATAAATTTTCTAAATTTTCAAATTTCTAAATGTCTAAATGTCTATTTTTACAAAAATGGCGGACTTCTTAAGTTTTCCCTAGATTCTTCCTAGGCTCTAAATTATTCTCAGACTACATAAATCTACCTAAATCTTCCTTAAGTTTCTTCCACTTAATTTCTCATTCTATCAACTTAATTTATTAATCTATCAACCGAACCTAACCTAGATATTTAATGTAAGCCTAACCTATTTTATAACCTAAAAATGTCAAAAAATATCACTTTGATCATAGTATAATAATGCAAGAAGAGTAAGTTGGTTTTCTGAAACAGAAGAATGTATTTTTGAACGAGGAGAATAGATCACAGTTAAGAGTATCAGTTGCAGCTGTAGTATTGTCAAGTTCAAGTAACTTTTGTCAAAAAGTAGCGGCTAACCGAGTTCCTCGTCACCTCCACGTCTCGTTTTCCTGGTGCATTCCGTGTCAGTCGTTCGAGAAGAGGTCGCGATTGGATATTCAATTAGAAACGTAATGCACGTGCACGTGACTAGCATTCGACTCATGGGGCAGCCACGAAACACTATAAATTTGTTCGAAATTCCGTCAAATTTACAAGAAACCGCAATTTTTTCTGACCTAACCTAACCTACATTTAATTCCCCTTAATACAGTACCAGGAAATTTCGAATTTTTACGAAATTTTCCCCTTTGCTGGACAGTATGACCACTTTGGTAATAATGTTCTACCAAATCATCAGTTTAATGAAACTGGTCTCTTCTAATTGAACAAATTTTGTATTTTTTTTTGTATTGTTGCCGTTTTCATTATCATGGTCATGCTATTGCTATTGTCGTTGTTATTCTCAGTGTCTTTGTCATTGTCAGTGTCAGTGTCAGTGTTATTGTCTTTGTCATTCCTATTACTACTACTATTGCTATTGGTATTGCTATTGGTATTGCTATTACTGTTGCTGTTACTATTGCTATTGCTGTTGCTATTATTGTTGCTGTTACTATTGTAGTTACTGTTGCTATTTATATTGTTCTTAGTATTGCTATTGACATTGACATTGACATTGACATTGACATTGACATTGACATTGACATTGACATTGACATTGACTTTATCACTGCCACTGTCATTGCTATTGCCGTTGTCATTGCCCTCATCATGTTATTGTTTTTATCATTTTCGTTGCTGTTGACATCCTCGTTATTCTTATCGTTATCCCTTTCCTTGTCCTTCTCCTTCTTCTTGTTCTTGTCATTGCCATGTCCTTGTCCTTGTCATTGCCATGTCCTTGTCCTAGTCCTTCTTCTTGTTCTTGTCATTGCCATTATCAAAATATTCAGAATATTACAATTACTCTATTCCCACAGTAACACACACTATAAATCTTCATAGCATAATCTCGAAAATCACAAAAAAATAAAAAATTCTTAATCCATGCGAAGCAAGGAATTGTTCTCATGAAATATGTGACATCTGACCTGACCCATATAATAATTTACCGTTCGATAATATTTTGTAATTCCATTAAAACATCGATACACCCGTCCTCGATTTCGTGTTGGAACGCTAACACACTTCAAAGTATGATACACTTTTATTTCGAACACGTGACTGACATCCAGATGCAAAACTGTGAGCCGTACTCACTCGCTCGCTTACATATACGTTGGCGGAAGTAAGTAGGTGACTCACTGTTAGCGAGTACTTTTTTAGGGCACTTTCAGCATCACGGTAATTCGACGAATCGCGTAGGACCAGATTTGGTAGAGGCTGAAATTTGGTGCGACGAAAGCTAGCGGTGTCGAGTCACTTGTTAGCAACATCGACTTCCTGACCCACATACCACGACCGCCATACAAACGTGATGCTTTCTACATAGGTGTGCAGTCGACGTATGGTTACTTGTTCATATAGCTGTACGAGACACCATCATTATCGTGCAACCACCTCGTTCGCGTCCATAATCATTCTGACATGGGAAGATGTGGCTATTGATACTATTGACACTCTTCTGCAACGTAATCAACGGTTCTTTCTGTACAATGGTAATAAATTGTTCTTTCATGGCTGCAACTTAATTGTACATTTTTTGTTACAATTTTTACAAATTTGTATATTAATCAGAACTTAATTTTGGAGGTCATCATACAAGTTTATTTAAACGAATAAAGTCTAGTTTATTTTACAATATTCTTCCTTCTGAAGTAGTAGTAGTAATAGTTTACGAGTAAGTACATAGACAGAATATAAATGAAGCGATTTTTATTTGAGAAAATATTCTTATAAAATTTGTTGTCTTCTTTCGAGTACCAAAACCTTAAAAAGTTTATAGAAATATTATAGATACAACAAGGATATATTATAAACATATGTACATATGTATATCTGTTATAGATATATACAGGGTGTTACATTTTATAAAAAAATGTATGTTCCTATTTAAAAAACCCAAGGTGACCTTGATTTTGCCAGGAGAACAAACTGTTTTCAAAATTTATTTTACTAATATCTATTGTGCACTTCATACCCTGCAAATATTGTTGTAAACTTTTTTTCGTAAGGTGGCTGCAAGTGGGAGAAAAGTCATGAATAACGTTACAGTCACCACCCTATATATCATACTGCTTTTAGTTTCAAATAATTGTTCACATGAAATAATAACAATTTCATATCCACTCAATTTCATTTGCAAAAATGAAAAATGAAAAGAAAACATCAAAGCTCCAAACTGAAATTTGCAGATTTTCCAAAGTTCCAAAAGTGTAGGTAGGCTATACGCCCGTCTAAGGTCGACAACTTGAAGATTATGCTTTTGAGCCACGTATAAACAGCTTCCAAATATCAAAATCTATCAACATGTAATTTTAATATCGGAACATTCGGAAGCTCTCCTTTTTAGTATGTCTTTGGCTACGTAAAAGTAAGGTCGTCGACCGAATAGACGTCTAATCTGACCGAATCAAGTTTCTCCGTTAGTCGTCGTCTTCGTCCGTGACTATATATCGATGCCTTCTTCTTTCCTGCATATGAATCGATCGATAGGTATGTTATGTCCTCGAAATTTTTGACCATCGAAACGTTTATTCATTCCATTGCG